GGTTAATCAAAGGACAAATAACTCCACTGACCGTTACGGATTAAAAGAGAACAGACATTTCCATTTTCCATTAACGAATCCAATTTTTTTCTTGGAGTAAATATTTATACGGATATAATTTGATTTTAAACTCTCAATAATATTTCTTCTGATCATTTGTGGTTACCCTTCCACCCCCCAAATAAAGCACATATAAAAGAAGCAGGAGTTCCTCTTCCACTCAGGCTACAGAAAGCCAGAAGAAATGTCACTCCCACCCTATCAACAACAAAAAACCCAGATCAACTACAAAATCGAACTCAACTACAACAACTCAACTACAAAAACGAACTCACCAGAGAGCTGAGGTTTTAGGGCAACCAAGTAGTGTGGAATCCAAAGAAAGACATTCCCCTCAAGGAGATATGGGAGGTAAGCAATGGTTCTCCTGTGTCTTACGTGCCATGCAAGCAGGTGAGAAGAATTCAACTAAAGAGTTTAACCATTTGCTAAAGGCTAAGTGAAGGCTAGCATGAGAGTAAAGGGCCCCTGGGATCCACAGACACAAAAGGAGTTCATACCCACTTGCAGGTTAGAAAGAGTGGAGGCAGCGGGGGGACCAGAGAGCTGCTCTAGGCGGTGCAGACCTGGAAAAAGCTGCCACTAAAAGCAAAGGCAAGAAGCCCTGGCCCCTAGGACTCCTCTCTCCTATGCAAACAGAAGCTTTAAGCTGCTGGGGGAGGAGTATCAAACCCTGTCAGCCCCAGGGCCTGGGTGAAGACCCACTGCAGAAGACCCACTGAAGAAGTTAACAAGAAAACCCCCTCTTACCCTAGGGGAGGAGCCAGAAAGAATCCTAGCCCAGGATCCTATGCCAATACCTTTAGAAAACGCCATCCGTGTAAGAGGGATAATATGATTGAGAAAAAGACTCAACCACAAGACGCATGCACACAGGCTTGAGCCTAAACCAAGGCCAAAAAACAAAAATAAAAAAACTCCTGCCCACTACCAGGCTATCCCTCTTCTGATAAGGGAGGGGAGAGCATGGAGAGAAATCCTCCTGAGGCACAGGTGCACAGCAGGGCCAAAAGCTGGGAGTGGAACAAGAACTTTGAGAAAAGAACTTTTTTTTTTTTTTTTTGCGGTACACAGGCCTCTCACTGTTGTGGCCTCTCCCGTTGCGGAGAACAGGCTCCGGACGTGCAGGCTCAGCGGCCACGGCTCACGGGCCCAGCCGCTCCGTGGCATGTGGGATCTTCCCGGACCGGGGCACGAACCCGTGTCCCCTGCATCAGCAGGCGGACTCTCAACCACTGCGCCAACCAAGGAAGCCCAGAAAAGAACTTTTGAGAAAAGCTTTCCAGCACCTCAGCCCCTACTCTACGCACCAGAAATGGAAGAATTTGAAGCCAGTAGCGCACTGAAGACCATCATAGCAACAACAAAGCCCAACCCTAGCTCAGCCCTGGCCTAAATTGACTCAACCCTTTGAAAGTATTAATTAACTAGTAAAAGAAGAGAGTTGCCCATTGTTGGGTTGTACCCCGCAGGCCTACACGGTCTGTGCTTGCCCAGCTCTAAAACCGAAGAAAGAACCCAGAGTCAGCAACAGAGACATCAACGGTGTAATGGATGGGGGACCTTACACAGCTGAAGCAAGGTCCTGGAGCGACACCCCACCGTGTACGGCAGACAGCAGGCAGGACATGGTGGCAGTCTTCACTGCCGGCCAGGGCAGGTGGCGGGGGGGGGGGGGGGGGATTACCAGTTATAAGAGAATTATGTCAGGTGGGTTCATTAGTTACCAGGGAAACCAGCAGAGAGGCACGCCCCTCATTACCCCTTCGATAAAAACAATCAACAGCTGGAGCAGGGGCAAGAGTGTAGGAAGGTCCGGCACTTGAGTAGGGTACAGGTGAAGCAGGCACTGGTCGAGAAGGGAATGTACAGAGAGCAAAAGAACAGCCATCTTGAGTGGCCTGACCATACACTCATTTCCAGGCATAAATATTTTATTTCAGTCTCTACTGTTTTACATGTGAGGTCCAGCATTCACTCAAAAATTAAGATACACATAAAAAGTACCAGAAAAAAACAGTAAAGAGACAAAATAATCGGACTGAGAGATGACCCAGATGTTAAAATTACCGGACAGACATTTAAAATAATTATGATTAATGTGTTAAAGTCTATAGTGGAAGAGATAGAAATATGCATTAACAGATGGCTAATTTCAGCAGAGAGATGGAAACTCTAAAAGTCAAACAGAAATGCTAGAAGTTAAAAACAGTAAAGATATTAAAGATAAAGAATGCCACTGAGTGCTCATCATTAGATTCAATGCAACCAGGAAAAAAATGAGGGAATTTGAAGATAGATGAAAAGAAAGTACCCAAAATGAAACATAGAGCATCTAAGAACTGTGGGACAATACTCAAAAATCTAACAAAAATGTAACTGGAATCCCAGAAGAAGAAGAGAGAAAGAAAGAGGCAAAGCACAGATCAAGCTCAGAGAAAAGAAGGACAAGTAACAAAATATTACCTAAACACAACACATTCAAACTGAACAAAATATCACCTAAACAACACATTCAAACTGCTAAAAACCCAAGATAAAGATAGCCTGGAAGGTGGAGGTGGGGGGGGGGGGGGGGGGAGAACAATGATCAAGATTGTAACAGATTTCTCATAGGAAACTATGCAAGTAGGACAACTAATTTTCCTTTAAATTACTGAAAGAAAAAAGTAACACAGAATAGGACACCTAGCAAAAAGTACCTTCCAAAACTTAAGATTTGTTTTTCAAATAAAACAAAGCTGAGAGAATTCACTGCTAAGCAGGTTTGTACTATAAGAGAAGAAGTGTTACAAGCTTTTCAGGCAGAAGGACTATGATGCTAGACAGAAATTTGGGTCTATACAAAGAAATGAAGAATGCCCCAAATGGTAAAAATTAGAGTAAAGGTATATTTTTCCCATATTTTTATTCATTCTAAAAGATAGACAAGCTAAAGCAAAAATAGTAACAAGGTAGGTAACTAACATAAGTCAAATTATGTGTATGACAATAACACAAAAAATGACAGAGGAATTGGACATTTACTATTTTGCATGGAATTTTACACTATACATGAAATGGTAGAATATTACTGGAAGGCAAACTGGAAGAAATTAACATACACAGTAAACTCTAGGTCAAATATAAAACAATTTTTAAAAGAAATATATATAATAAGCCAATGTTGGAGTTAAAACAGTATTTCAAAAAATATTCAGGGACTTCCCTGGCAGCTCAGTGATTAGGAATCTGCCTGCCAATGCAGGGGACATGGGTTCAAGCCCTGGTCCGGGAAGATACCACGTGCCGCAGAGCAACTAAGCCCGTGCGCCACAACTACTGAGCCTGAGCTCTAGAGCCCGCGAGCCACAACTATTGAGCCCGCATGCTGCAGCTACTGAAGCCCACGTGCTGAGAGTCCGTGCTCTGCAACAAGAGAAGCCAGCATAATGAGAAGCCCGCGCACTGCAACAAAGAGTAGCCCCTGCTCACCGCAACTAGAGAAAGCCCGTGCACCGCAACGAACACCCAACACAGACAAAAATAAAATAAATAAAATAAGTAAATTTTTTTTTAAAAAGCCTATTTTAGGTGGTTGCCAGAGGTGGGGGGTGGGCAAATGGGTGAAAGGAGTCAAAATAAATAAAATTAAAAAGTTATAAAATAAATAAGTCCTGAGGATACAATGTATGGCATGGTGTCTATAGTTAATAACACTGTACTATATTTGAAAGTTGCTAAGAGAGTAGATATTAGAAATTCTCATCACAAGAGGAAAAAAATTCATAACTATATATGGTGATGGATGTTAACTAGACTTGTGGTCATCATTTCACAATAAAAACAAATATTGAATCATTATGTTGTATACCTGAAACTAATGTTTTATGTCAATTATATCTCAATTTTTAAAAAATGCTTATTTTAGAAAAGAAATGTTTCAAATCAATGATCTAAGCTGCCACCTTAAAAAACTAGAAAAAGAGCAAATCAACTAAAAGTAAGCAGAAGGAAGGAAATATTAAAAGTTACAAGCAGGAATTGAAAACAGAGAGGACATGACAAGAGATCCTACAGACATTAAAAGAATAAGGTAATATTATAATTTTATCTCCATTCATTCAATGACTTAAAGGAAACAGACCAATTCCTTGAAAGATACAAAACACCAAAGCTCACTTGAAAAGATAGAAAACTTGATAGAAAACAGTTCTGTATCTCTTAAACGAATTGAATTCCTAGTTAAAAACTTGACAGAGAAAACTCCAGATCCAGATGACTTCACTGACAGTCTGTCAAACATTAAAGAAAAAAACATCAATTCGACACAAACTGTTCTAGAAAACAGAATAGGAGGGAACACTTCCCAACTTATTCTATGATGTCAGTATGACCTCAGTTCTAAAACCTGACAAAGGCCTCACAAGAAAACAACAGACCAATATCCCACATGCACATAGATGTAAAAATCCTCAATCAAATGTTAGCAAATCTGACCAGCAATATATAAAAACAGCAAATCTCTTTGAAAGGGTTTAACCCATTTTTTAATCCTTACCTAGGATTACTTTCAAAGACAGGTGGCATCTAACTCTGTTCCAAATTGTCTTGGTATAAATACAGAATTTAAAGTATCTAACTTTACAAAGCTACTTTCAAAGAAAAGGCACAGCAGACAGTTTAATTTAGGAAATTAAGAGGCAAATTATATAGCCGTTGAGACATTACAGAAGGAACTTTAGGGTTAAGAGTAATCTACAGCTTCAAGAACACATACTCTACTGAAGGGTAATGAACCTACCTCCTTGGTTTCCAAGAAATTTAGATAAAGAAAAAGTTACTAGCCTATACTACAAAACTCAGTTCAGTTTCCTCAAAGGTTTCTAAGATTATGACCCAAAGTGTAATCCCTTATCTACTTTCTGAACCTATCCATCCAGTCTGGCTTAATTACTTACCTTCAGCCTGGCTAGTGTCTGAGCATGGTTTCTTCTTTGACTCCAAATTCCCGGTTTTCTCATCAACATCCAGTAGAGGAATATAGTCTGTTTTTCCAACAGTTTCTCCCACAACATCATCAAAGGCCTCTGCCTCCAGTGTGGCAATAAAGTCCCGTTTTATCTCTTCCTCAATTTCTGGAGGTGGCTCTGTTAATGCATCTGCAAGACTGAGGTCTGCCATTCTGCACCACTGCAACTGCCTGGTTAAGGGGGAAAAAAATGTTTCATACGATGAGAACTGCAAAGGGAAAAACATTCCTAGAAACTCTTGTCATCATCTTAAACAAAAAAGGAATTAAAATCTAAAATTTTAGAGCTAAAAGAGACTCTCCCATTTTATAGATTAGAAAATCACAGCTCCGTAACAGTCTTACCCAAGGTAAGCACTTTTTCTTTCATCTCTGGGAGGTAAATAGAGCAAGTGCCATTTTGTCCTTTTCATTAATAAGAAAAATGAAGTGCAAAAAAACCCCTAAATTTATCCAAGATTACAGCCAGTAAGATTCAAATCAGGTCTTTTAAGTCTTAAAACCCTTTCAACTATTCCATTTATCTTAATTTCCAAATCATGTCACAGAATAATTCTTAAAAATATATACAAAAGGAGGTCAGATTAGGTTATATTCCCATTTTTTTAAAAAAAACGGTTAATTACTATCAGGCAAATGAAGTCACTTTTATTTACCAGGGATTAGGAATATGGACCTTATCTTGTAGGGGTAAGCAGTGCTTCATGAATCACTTGGACATGGCTCTGTCAACCGAACTACTCTTTCTAGTTTCCTGCCGGCATGAAAAATACAGACAACGTTCCCTGAATTACCTAGGGGAGGCAGTCCCTCTCTGTGGTCATGTACATTAGCATCTTTGCAGAACACCAGGCTTTCCATTTTTAAACATAATCTGAAATTAAAAAGTATATGGGGGACTTCCCTGGTGGCGCAGTGGTTAAGAATCTGCCTGCCAACGCAGGCGACGCGGGTTCGAGCCCTGGTCCGGGAAGATCCCACATACCGCGGAGCAACTAAGTCCGTGCGCCACAACTACTGAGCCTGTGCTCTAGAGCCCGCAAGCCACAACTACTGAGCCCGCACGCCTAGAGCCTGTGCTCTGCGACAAAAGAAGCCACCACAATGAGACGCCAGCCCACCACAACGAAGAGTAGCCCCCACTCGCCACAACCAGAGAAGAGCACACGCGCAGCAATGAAGACCTAATGCAGCCAAAAATAAAAGAAAATAAAAATAAATAAAGAACTTTGTAAAGGCCTGACATGTGTCAAAGGGTTCCACAAAGAGGAACTGCTTTTCCCTTTTCTATCTATGATAGCTATTATTACTAGTTAGCCTTTGAAAGCTGTTAATGAACAAAAAACAATAAAGAATGTCTATAATTAAGCAGTTTCATTGTCAAAGAGAACTTGTAAGGAACACCTGTACCACCTTTAACAACATACAATAAGAGCCCAACAGATTTATTTGTCCTAGAAATATGTAATTATGACACTTACTTCATGCAATCTTCTCAGACTTTTCCTAATTTAGGACACTGGTGAAAATACAGACAAAACCAGCAATACATTTTAAACCTCATTTATCTGAGTACGGATTCTCAAAGGGCAACTTTTTATTCACTGTAATCTTTCCCCTCCTCCCCGCCTCCCAACCTCCCAAACCATTTTCTGGGCTGACATGTGGTTCATGGAATATGAACAGCAGCTTAAATTCAGTCTAAGAGGGTAAAATTGATAGAAAATTAGACAGCTGGAAGTGGGAAGGTCACTTGGCTCCCAGTACATGCATCCAACCACCCAGCATCTGCATCTCAAAACAGTTTAGCTATTCTTTTCATGTCATCACATATAAATAGAAGTATGATTTAAGCACACACACACACACACACACACACACACAATCTACTTATGGAAAATGACCCTGTAAAAGCAATACTAGCTAGTGGAAGTGAAAATACTGGCTTTTAGCCAAAAAGCCCCAGTTTTCAATAAATTAAAGAGAAGACTACTCAATTTTATAGTTATTCTATTCTATGTGTAAGTATAATAAATTCCTTAGGTGCTCTACAGATCTGTTAAGCTGGTTCTGCAAGTGCTCCAGAACTGATCTTAATAACTTCATGACTGAATGTCATCCCACACTTAACAGCATCATTTAAGGTCACAATATTTATTCATGCCTTAAAATGTTTAGTTATGTATTTTATGGACAAATGGATCTGACACAGTGTTCTTCTCAAATCTGGATATACAGGAAAATTCAAAAACATACCCTTGTGAATGAGAAGTATCTACTTAAAAAAATTCTCTCATTGACTATTTATGCTTTTCCTCCTCTATTTGTATAGATAATAAAGAAAATTAACTGAGTTTGAATTTTTTTAATTTAAGTACAGTTGATTTGCAATGTTTCAGGTGTACAGCAAAGTGATTCAGTTATATACATATTCTTTTTCAGATTCTTTTCCATTATAGGTTATTACAAGATATTGAATATAGTTCCCTGTTCTGTTAACTAAATGGATTTGTTGATAGGAGGCAAGAAACGAAAGCTGGTTAAAGAAGTTTCCATGCTTCACTAGTTCAGTCTGATTCGCACTATGGCTTTGAGTGAGTCACCTTCCGGGGCTGAGTTCCCTAGGCTGTAAAATGAGAGTGGTATGTTAAACGATTCTTGAGGTTGACTATTCTATAAGCTACTTATAATTCAGTTTCATCACTTAAATTAGAAATAAACTTCATATAGATTCTCTGTGTGACTATTATTTTATACATCAAGTACTCTCAATTATAACTGGGTTCAGGTTTATTAAAAGGTAAAAAGGGGCTTCCCTGGTGGCGCAGTGGTTGAGAGTCCGCCTGCCGATGCAGGGGACGTGGGTTCGTGCCCCGGTCCGAGAAGATCCCACGTGCCACGGAGCGTCTGGGCCCATGAGCCATGGCCACTGAGCCCGCGCGTCCGGAGCCTGTGCTCCGCAACGGGAGAGGCCCCAACAGTGAGAGGCCCGCGTACCGCAAAAAAAAAAAAAAAAAAAACTAAAAAACCTTTCGGCAAAGGGAGAGACTAAAAACCAACTACCCAGTGCACAGTGCCTGCTTGAGCAAATCTGACTGGAGCTTAAGAAACTCCATCCAGTTCTGGCTAACGTCAAAGGAGACTTGACACCACTCTACCAGAAAATAAGCCCCATATTATTTAACCAGGCACCAAGAGCGTACCGTTTTCAAGCATAGCACTCTGAACATCTGATCCTTCATTCTGACTTCATGCCTGATGTGAAACTATCTGGTGAGAACGTTTTGAAAATACCTAGGTAAACCAAGGCAAGAGGAAATGACAGGACATGATGATGAAGCACAGAAGAGAATTTTGGCCTCTTGACTATTCTTTTACTATTAATAGCTATGTGCTCATAAAGAGTAAATAAGAATACATAATGAGATCACAAGTGCCTTCTCTGTTGTATGATTTTCTTCAGATCACAAACTCTGGAATTAATTACTGAACTAAAAATATTTTCTAGGGCTTCCCTGGTGGTGCAGTGGTTGAGAGTCCGCCTGCCGATGCAGGGGACACGGGTTCGTGCCCCGGTCCAGGAAGATCTCACATGCCGCAGAGCGGCTGGGCTCGATAAGCCATGGTCGCTGAGCTTGTGCGTCCAGAGCCTGCCCGTGTACCGCAAAAAAAAATTTTTTAATTAAAAAAATTAAAAAAAAGTATTTTCTAGGTCTATACAGATTAAATAGTGTTCATATCTAACTTAAATGCACAGAAGTATGGGCAAGTTTTCAAGTTCCCAGAAGTCCTTGTGAAAATTTTAGGTCAGTCATATCTATAGTCACTCAGTTGGGATCTGTGCTCATTCTGGCTGATGAGAAATTAGCATTCTAGTTTGCAAATGGCCTGTTGTTGCCTCTGTCCTCCCTTACTAACCTCCCCCCATCCCCGCCCCTGACCAAAGGTGCTGCTTTGAAACTAAACTGGAGGAAGAAAACTCATGAAAAGGAAGAACAGAAGCCTAATTCCCACCAAGATACTCACACTTTTCATAACCACTGTAATATTTTCATTTCACTCAGTCACATTAGCCAAACTTCTACCAAGATTCAAACTTCTACCAAGATTCATTCAATGCAGCAGCCAGCATTCTCTTTTAAAGTACAGAATCCTATTTCACAATTTAAAGGGGGGTAATAACGGGACATACAACCCTTGAAGGACCATCATTCCACCTCATGTGACTTTAGTTAGCAAGTAGCTTTCCTCCTAACCCCAGAGATAAATTCCATTGAAAGTGTCTGAGTTTCTGGTTTTAGGATAAAAAGGAAGAACATAATTTAGCAACATGGAATATTTCAGGGAACAAAGCAGACCTGGATAAGGTACCAAAGTAGGGAGAAGGTACGTGGGCCTAGAGACCCTAGGAGGTAAGAGAAAGGGAGGTGACAACGCCATGGGCAAGCTCAACACCTTTCAAAACACTGCCTGTCAGTTTTAGAAAAAAGAAAGAAACTGTCTTCTCAGTAATTGGGACTAGTTTAGAACCAAAATTATCATTTATAACATTGTTTATCTAAGGAAAATGTATTCTGAGTTCCAAGTAACCAATTTAAAAAAGAAACATTTAATAATAATTCTTAAAGGTAGGAGACTGTTCATAATACTCACTTAAATTGTACCCATGATGGATATTCTGTTCTGTTTGGGGGGTGGGGATGGGGTGGAGGGGTGAGTTATGGACAAGACACAGAACTGTAAAGATACGTGGGCTAATATTTTCTTCTACACTTTTTTTTCCATGACAGAGAATTCTGAAGCCAGCACTAAGCTGCTATCCCAGGACAGTGCTGTGGCCAAAAATGTAGGGCTTATTCCTCAAGCTTGGAAGAAACCCAGCATCCCAGACAGTCCCAGAGACCATTTATAATCTGACATGCTTAAAAGTATAGTCTGCATCATAAAGATTTCACATTCAACATGAGATTTTTTTAGTTTGCCTAGCAAGCTTTCAGTGACTAAGTGGGGACTTTATTCCTCAGATTTGTTTTAATGAATTTCTTTCAGAGGCCTATTACATATCAAGCTGAACCTTATTTGTCTGGAGGCTGTGTTCTGTTTTTAATTTATTTAACTAGAAAACCTTGATTTATACTTTCAGTTGAAACAGTATTTCATTCAAAGTAAAA